TGGCTTTGCGGGGAGGCTTTACCGAACATTTAAAAAAGAACTAACACCCATTCTCCTCAAACTATTTCAAAAAATTCATGAAGGAGGAAGACATCCAAACTTGTTTTATGAGACCAGCATAATTCTAATTCCAAAACCAGAAAAAGACACTACAAAGAAAGAAAACTACAGGCCAATATCCCTGATGAACATAAATGCCAAAATCCTGAACAAATACTAGCAAATCGAATCCAGCAATACATTAAAAAAATTATTCACCATGACCAAGGGGATTCATCCCAGGGATGCAAGGCTGGTACAATATTCGCGAATCAATGAATGTGATACACCACATAAATAAAATGAAGAAAAACCACATGATCATATCAATACATGCTGAAAAAGCATTCGACAAAATCCAGCATCCATTTCTGATTAAAAAACTCAGCAATGTGGGAATAGAGGCATCATATCGCGACATAATAAAGGCCATATATGAAAGACCTACAGCCAACATCATACTCAATGGGCAGAAACTAAAAACATTTCCCTTAAGAAGAGAAAGAAGACAAGGATGCCCACTCTTGCCACTCTTACTTAACATAGTACTGGAAGTCTTAGCCACAGCAATCAGACATGAAGAAAAAATAAAAGGAATCCAAATTGGAAAGGAGGAAGTGAAACTGTCATTATTTGCATATGACATGATATTTTACATAGAAAACCCTAAAGACTCCATCAAAAATCTATTAGACTTAATAAATGAATTTGGCAAAGTAGCAGGATACAAAATTAACGTCAAGAAATTGATGGCATTCTTATACACCAATGATGAAGTCACAGAAAGAGAAAGTGAAAAAACAATCCCATTTATCATCATGGGAAAAAAATTAAGATACCTAGGAATAAACTTAACCAAAGAAGTAAAGATTCACAGACAACTACAGGTCATTGAAAAAAGAAATAGAGGAAGATATAAAAAAGTCGAAGCACATACCTTGTTCATGGATTGGAAGAATTAACATCATTAAAATGTCTGTATTACCTAATTCAATGCAATTCCCATCAAAATACCAATGACATATTTCACAGAACTAGAACAAATACTTCAAAAGTTCATATGAAACCAAAAAAGACCCCGAACAGCCACAGCAATCTTGAAAAGGAAGGACAAAGTAGGTGGGATCACAATACCAGGTATCAGGTTATACTACAAAGCGATTGTAATCAAAACAGCCTGGTACTGGCACAAGAACAGGCATATAGACCAGTGGAACAGAACAGAGAACCCAGAAATGGACCCAAGACATTATGCTCAATTAATATTTGACAAAGGAGGCAAGAGCATACAATGGAGTAAAGACAGCCTCTTTAATAAATGGTGTTGGGAAAATTGGACAGCTACATACAAAAAAGTAAAACTAGACCATCAACTTACACCATACACAAAAATAAACTTGAAATGGATAAAAGACTTAAATGTAACTTGTGAATCCATAAAAATTCTAGAAGAAAATGTAGGCATCAAAATTTCGGACATCATACGCAGCAGAATTTTCACTGATACATCAACTAAGGCAACTAAAACAAAGGAAAAAGTGAACACGTGGGACTACATCAAACTAAAGAGCTTCTGCACAGCAAAAGAAACAACCATCAAAATGGAAAGGCAATTCACTGTATGGGAGAGCATCATTGCCAATGATACATCAGATAAGTGGTTAATTTCCAAAATATATAGAGTACTCATACTACTCAACAAAGGAAGACAAAGAACCCAATTAAAAATGGGCAGAGGAGCTGAACAGACACCTCTCCAAACGAGACATACAAATGGCTAAGAGACAAAGGAAGAAATGCTCAACATCACTATTCATCAGAGAGATGCAAATTAAAACGACAATGAGGTATCACCTCACACCTGTCAGAATGGCCGCCATCAACAAATCATCATACAAGTGTTTGGAGAAAAGGGGACTCTAGCACACTATGGAAAACAGTATGGTGTTACCTCAAAAAATTAAAAATTGAACTGCCATTTGACCCAGTGATCCCACTTCTAGGAATATACCCTAAGAAGCCTGAAACACCAATCAGAAAGAATATGTCCACCCCCATGTTCATAGCAGCACTATTTACAACAGCTAAGATCTGGAAACAGCCCAAGTGTCCATCAGTAGACGAATGGATAAAAAAGGTGTGGTACATATACACAATGGAGTACTATGCAACTGTAAGAAAGAAAGATCTTTTATCCTTTGAGACGACATGGAGGGACCTGGAAAGTATTATCCTAAGCAAAACAAGCCAAGCGGAAAAAACAAATACTGTATGATCTCACTTACTTGTGGAATATAATGATCATAACAGTCTGAGGAATAGAGTAGACCCAGAGACGTGGAAGTAGGGTACAGACTGACAATCCCCAAAAGAGGAGGTGGTGGGGGAGAGATAAACCACAGAACTTATATGCATGTACGTATAACCGATGGACATGGACAACAAATCCAGGGAAGAGGTGGGGGGGATGGGGAAGAGGGTGTCAGTGGGCTAAAAAAGGAGAAACATCTGTAACAAAAAATAAAATAAAATAAAATGTTTGGATATAACTAAGGCGGAATTCCTTTCAAGGACCACTCAGAGGCTAGCAAGACATATATCCACCTCCTAGACAACAGAACCTCAAAGGCAACCTACTTGGGTCCCCTCTCCACTGAGAGTCTGCCTATGTTTTAAATAAACGTTCTTGTCACTTAGTCTTGGTCCGTGAACTCATTCTTCGATTCCGTGAGACAACAAACTCAATCACTGCTGCTTGGTTTCAATAGCACCAGCCTGGGAAATGCATTACCTGGTCCCCCAACTACTGTAGACACCACTCTGCCGAGCTCGGGTCCTGCAGAGGGGCCTGTTGCCTGCACCCAGCAGTGACCTTTGGGGTACTCTTTTTCTTGAGAAGCTCTTGGTGGACTCAGATAGTAACTGAATCTGCAGCTTTGGAAAGGGGAGCAGTTCTTCCCACCTAGAGGGCACAGCTGGTGCCACGCCCAACGCGTTGAATCAGTTGGCTGGCCCTGCCCTCCTGAGTTCAGTTGCACAGGAGGATCACATTGCCGTGCAGAGCTGGGACTTTTGTAATGTGTCTCCCAGGGAGGCTTTTGTCCAGAAATCAGAAGGGTGGGTGCTGGGTTGTGTGGCTATGTCCCAGGGAATTGGAAGCCACTCCAATCGCCCCTGCAAGCTCAGCCCATCTCTCCCAGGAAGGGGAAAACATGTCCATCCCCCTTCTACAAGCTTGCAGGCAGCAACCCCAATGGGAGTCTAGATCTGCCCTTCCAAGTCCCAAATACCCTGCCCCTGCTGAGCTGTTCTGTGGAGGGGAGTGCTGCTCAGATCTGGGACATCTGGAGAGTGTGTGCCTCAGAGGTTATTGTCTGTGAATGGGACAGAGTGCTGGGTCCCCTACTGCAGGCTCAGCTGGCACCACCCCCAATGGAAGACTTACTCCTTTGATCTGTGCTCCTGAGCCCAGCTCCGCCCAGCTCAGCTTACTCCTGCAGAGGAGACAGCTGGCTGCATCCAACCTGAACTGCTGCACGCTACTCCTGGGGGAGCTGCAGTTGGAGACTACGGCAGAGACTGAGTGATTTGGCTCTGGAGAAGGGGTCATTTTCCTCTCACTGAGTGCTGACCATGTGACCCCTAAGTAGGAGACCCACTCCCCTGACTTTCCAACCCTGGTCACCCTGCCCTACGGAGCTCACGACTTGTGGGTCTGTTGGTTGCACCCAGCCTGGGCCCACTCTACAGTCTTTCTTCGGAAGGCTATGGAGAAGACCAGACAACCTCATGGGAAGGTGGAGTAGCTCACAGGTGGAGGCAGACTTCAGGAAGCCAACCCTTATACACAACTGGCTCCTCCCGCACACAATAAGGTCCAAGTAGACACGGCCACAAACAGTGAACAGTGTGATAGCTCCAGACAGGTAGCCGAAGGCTGGTTATACACAATGTCTGACATCAACTTATACCTGAACCAGAGCCAGATGGACCCAGAAGCAACACAACCAGTGGTGGGCTTCAGAGCATACCAGAGCTCGACCCACACAAGTGGCACAACAAAAGGGGTATTCTGGCAAACACCAGACCCTGCTAGGAAACTTTGCCTTGAGGGACAGGCCCTGCACAGTGACCCAGACATGGTGCTCAAGGTTTATCCTTATAGTCAGGCATCCAGGAAGGTTAACTTCACCCACTAAAGGGCCAACAGCATTCAAGACTCAACTACAAGAGGTGCACATAACCCACAAGACAATCTTGGAGCACCAAGCTCAGGGGATCTGACAGATTTGTGCCACTGAGCCCAACAAGACACCGACATCATAAAGCCATCATAACAAGGTTGAGAGTAAGAGCAGATCTACCTAATACACAGAAACAAAACGAAGACAAAGAAACATGCCCCAAATGAAAGAACAAGAGAAATCCCCAGAAAAAGAATTAAATGAAATAGAAGCAACCAAGGCACCAGATGCAGAGTTTAAAAGAAAGGTCATAAGTAAAAAAAAGAAAACAATGGTCATAAGTATGCTCAAGGATCACAGGAGGACTGTCTACTTCAGAGTCTGCATGGATCATCTTTCTGCTGCTTCCTGCCATCATGTAGCTCTCAGGACACTTGGAGAGGCCTTTCCATTCTCCTGCCTTTGTTCATGGTCCTGTTCCCACTGGGTATGATGGATCTCTTTCTTATTGTCATCATTCCCCTCCACATCAACTTGTATGCACTATATAGGGTCTTGACACCCTTTATGTGTGAAACCAGGGCTCTGGATAATACTAGGGATGTGCAAGAGAGGAAAGGCAAAGCAAATGACTGTGGAGAGGTCAGGGGAAAAGCCCACCTCTCCTGGGCAGCCCTGACTCCTCCTGTGACCTCAGATAAGCCCCTCCCTGACATGCGAGCTGGAGGTGTGCAGGTGGCAGTCTCTAGGTGTCATGGTGTCCCTAGCAGATGAAGAGAAGGTATGCCTGTGTGCTGGAGCAGGCAGAGGGATCCTGGGAAGCACTGAATAGATCCTACCCTGTGAGACAGGCCCTGCTACCTGTGCCCATCCCCCTCCCAGACGGTGCGCTCTCAAGGCCCGGGCTGCCAGCTCTCCTGGGGGCAGCACTACACTCTCCCAGTGGCTCAGAGCCTGCTTTGTCCTAGACACAATGTCAACACCAGGCGTAAGAATGTCCCCGAGCTGTCAGATCCCCACCTACGAAGACCTCATGGACACTGTCCTTCACACTTACCCTGACAGTGGGCCTGTCCAAACCACTCAGAGGCAAATGGAGTGGTATGACACACAGACTTTATTCGGACCTCTCCGACCTCCTGGGTCCACGCCCACATCCCAACAACGGGGTGGGCTCACTCAGCACTCAGAAAGACCCTCTTGCGTGCAGTGTTGGTGTAGGGGTGCCAACGCCACTCCACATCTGCTGTGGCCTCCTGTTCCAGCGTGCCAAGGCGAATCATGTACACTGGTGGAGGGGAACAGGGACATTGTCACCTACACTGTCACCTCCCCTACCACCAAACCTGAGATAAAGCCCCAAACTCACACTTCAGCTCGAAGCGTGGCCCGACCTCTGTCAACTCCACATTGCGGTGGTTGGTCTTCCTGTACACGTGGTGTCTGGAGTAAGGGGAGCAGTTACAGGTCAACAACCAATAGTACAGGAACAGAAAGGTCAGGATAGTCCCAGAGGCCAGCCCACAGACACACCGGAAGGAGATGTAGTCGTCCTGGTTTGCAAAGGTGATGACACGGTGGCTGTCATCCTTGGGCACAGGGAACAGGTAACGAAGTATGTCAGAGACCTGGGGCAGAAGGAAGGAGATCAGAGAAAGCCCAGCCTGGTTCCCCCTGTCCCCAACCCTAGTCCCTCAGCCCCAGACTCACCCGCTTACCCAGGCGGGAGGAGAAGCCATGAATGATGAGGTGAGGTTTGGCCTCTGACACGGTGCCCAGGTCAGGGATGTCATGCCGCATAAGCACGTTGCATAGTGTGAAGTAAGCAGTGGGGCCAAAGGGCAGGTGGCTGACAATCAACCCCACTGGTGGGGCCAGACAGGCTGTCAGAGCCTACATCTGCTCTCGGATGGCCGACTTGGCAGACACCCTGCTCCCTCCCACCAGCCTTACCAGGTGTGCCTCGATGCTCATGGACAACCAGCAGGTCAGTGACCCCATTAGCTTTGCAGGCTCGCACCAGTGCCCCCACCTCATGTCGGCCACGATTCATGCGCTGGGCGCCGGGAAACACCAACTTCAACTCCTGCACGTGCACACACACTAGTTAGGACTCTGGCCACTGATACGTAAGCAATTGTCACTCACTGCTACTGGTACCTTTGCGAACATCTTGAGGCGAGAACTGGGGTCTCGGGAAGTAGTGATCATGACCTTGGGATCTTCAACCCCTGCCCATCGATATTCATCATCGACATGGTTGGTCACACCTGTCAGATGCATGAGGGACAAGAATATGACATTATCTTGGAAAGTAAAATACTAACTCGGGGGTGGTCAAATCCATCCAGAGCTGCACCATCTGACACCACCTTCGGTGACAGAACACTCCACACCCACACTGGCAAATAGGGTGGCCCCAAGCCACACTGGCTACAAGCACAAGTGCAAATGAGGAACTGAATTTTCTAATTTGATTTAATTTCACTCACTTACGCTTATTAATTACACAGGACCAGTGGCTATCATGTTAGCATAAGTCTAGATTCCATGAGGTAACAGACTCCTACCTCTCACAGCAAATATTTACATTTGTGATTCCTTTCATATTTGTTGAATCACACAATGAGTGAAACATCTGGGTGCCAAGGAAATATTGAGAGCTAGGGAAACAGTAATGAACATAACAGACACTGTCTTGTCCTAGCAGAACTCACGTTCTAGTGAGGGGGACAATTAACAAAGCAAAGCAGAGAATAAGCTGGGTAATATCACATGTGCCTCTAAACGGAACTGGGAGCACTCAGGACAAGCTCTCTGAGGTGCCCCCCGGCAGAACCATGAGGACTCCTGGGGGACAGTTCCAGGAACAGGAGTTGCAGAGCCTTTCCTCAGGGTGTCTGAGGAAGGACATGGAGGCCAGTAGGCTGGAGTGCAGGAAGAGGAGTTGGCTCAGAGTGTCAGGGAAGGTCACCTTCACCGCCAGCGTCATCAAACTCCAGGGAACCCTGCAAGGCCAGAGCCTCCCTGCGTAACTCGGTGGGGATCAGGCGGTTCTCTGCAGGGAAAAGACAGAGGGACAAGTGAGAAACATACATGGAGGTCTGTTAATACAATACTATGGCTTACAAGCCTGCACAAACATGATGGAAAAAATACTTTTCTAACTCCTTTCTGAGCAGAGAGGTGATACTGGGGGATGGGAGGTGGGGGACTATTTCTGTCTACATGCTAACCTGTTAACATTGGCTACAGGGGACTTAATTTCCTATGGTTCCTGAGTCTCACGGCTTGAAGGCTTCAGACTGCTCTCTCTGTATAAAGGTGCACCAGGAAGCCTGAAACCCTCTGGCAACAAAACTGCTAATCATGATGCCTGGGCCAGAAGTCTCCTCTGAGAACTGAAGCTTGACCTGGCAGAGGGGCTGGGCTGCGGGTGCCTCCACCTTGGGAGCACAGAGCTGAACATGAGCGTGCCCCGGACTTAGCACTTCTGAGTGTGCCCTGAAGGGAGGAACTCTTGTACACAGAAGATATTCACCTGAAGAAAATCTCCACTATACTCAACAGATTTTAGAAACAACGCTGAACAAAAACATAAAGCTGCCAAAGAATACATATAACCTAATATTGCCTTTAAAACTAAAAATCGATCAATATGATTTAGGGATACAAATAAGAACTATATAAGCATACATAAAAGTAAGGAACATTTATTTTAAAACAATATTCAATATCATGATTATCTAAGTTGTGGAAAATACTCCTGAATTTCAATACAGGGGTAGGCAAAGGTAGGTTTACAGTTGCACTGTGACATTCTTTTGAGTTAATAAAGCTATTGTAATAATAACTTGCATGTCTTTCTCCATATGAACAACTGTAAATCTACTTTTGCCAACCCATGTATACTGACCACTTTCCATTTTTTAAGATGGGCAGATAGGTCATAGGTATTTAACATTATGCTTAACATAAACATACACACACATAACCACAGACATTTTATATATCTAACAACTAGAAACATCAAGTGAATTTAAAATAACCAGAGATACTGAGTTGACATACCCTCAGATAAGAAACAAGCTTCACCAACAAAGAACACAGTAGGATAAACAAATGTCATTTCTAATCAGACTGACTCTTCTTAGTGTGGCAAATGGAAAGTGAGGAAAACATTGTCAAGTTAAACTCCTAATTTACTATGCAAATAAAAGTAACTTCTATAGGGATTAACAGTTTAAAAATGCAAGGGACACCCCGGCCAGTTTAGCTCAGCAATAGAACGTGCAGTCCATCGGCCCTCGGAACAATGAGTCTCGGGTTCAATTCCAGTCAAGGGCAGTATCTCAGTTGCTGTACATCCCTGCCCTGGTCAGGTGGAGCCAGTTGATGTTTCTCTCTCTCGCTCTCACTCTCTCTCTCCTTCCCTCCCCCTTTGTCTCAAGATAAATAGAAAAACATCCTCAGGTGAAAAAGAAAAAAGAAAAAGGATCCAAAAAATAAAATAAAAATGCAAGGGACTTATAATACCGCTAAAAGACGGTAAGATATGCTTATTACCTTGTACTAAAGAAAATAGGGAGATGAAAAACCACGGGGGGGGGCGTGCAGAATGTCTATAGGACCATAGTCAAAAATTCTAAATTTGACAAGAACTAGACACACTATAAACAAAATAAATAGGTAAGCTGTAAAATCTGGGCATTTACAAGCCAACAGGAAGACCCAACAGGCAAGGAAAAAAAACAGCCAGTAAATATTTGAAAAGATGCCCAACCACACTACCAAAGAAATGCAAAGTATTTACTCTTTCTTTCCATTGGATTGTTTTTTTTTGTTTGTTTGTTTAATTAAAATTTTTTTCAATTAGTTTACATTCAATACTGTTTTGTATTAATTCGGGTGTGCAGCATACTGGTTAGACAATCGTATACTTTACAAAGCGTTCCCCTTGATATATCCAGTACCCACTGGCACCATACATAGGTATTACAATATTATAGGCTATATTTCACTCCACCTGTATGACCCATTGGGTTTTAAAATGCAAACCCACAGTCTTTCTAAAGACTGGTGTGACGCCACCGGGCAGCGGGGACGTACCTTCGAGCGCGCGCCGCACCTTCTCCTTCTTCTCCTGAGCCGCGCGCTGCGCCTCCTCGCGGACCTTGCGATACAGGTACTCGCGGCGAAGGCGGGCCTCGCGGCGCAGCTGGGGAACGGCGGGTCGGGTCAGCACCTCTTTCACCACGCACGCCTCGGCCCCGGGGACCACTCACTCCGAGCCCGGGGACCACATCCCAGCCCTCCGGGAACCCCCAACCTCCAAAACGGGGACGGGAACATCCCTACCATCCTGCGCGCCGCTTCCACGTGGGTCCAGGAGAATCTGCGAGCGCCGCCTGCACTACGCAGCTCTCGCTTCCGCCCTCAACCAAGAAGGTGGGTGGAGGCTTCACTAAACGTAGTTGCTGGGAATAACCAATGTTAAACGGGCCGACAGTGGACGGGAGTCACAACATGATTGGCCAATCCAGAAGCGAATGCTCACTGGAGCAACCAATAGGCAGAGGAAATGTCAAGATGTTGTCAGGCGGCCTGGGACTGCCCTTAATAAAGATGTCCACCCTTGGCTTCGCCCTTTGTCGCGGCTTCGATTTTAAGATGATGTATCGCTAAAATAGTAATTGGCGGCTCGAAATAGTACAACTGTAAAACCAGCAGGACGGTCGGCCCTAAGGTCGCCTGCTGGGTCCTTATGGATTTAATTTAAAGCCACTTCTCCCTTAATATAGTGGCCACGCCTCCTTTCATCACCACAGCGATAACCCTACTTTTAAAATGCGGCCGCTTCCAGAAGCGACTCGGAACCACCCACAGCTCTCGCCGACTTTCCGGTTGGCTGATCCACTTCGGGAGCTAAGTGCATAAAGAAACTAACCAGTCCCCAAACGCTGCAGCTCTGAGGACGCCTGCCCTCAGAGGCCGTGACCCCAAGGCTTCCCCGACGCGGTCGCTGGGCGCACGGCCGGGAACGCCCCTTGAGGGCGGACTCGCGCGCCCATTGGCTACATACCGGCGCGGTGGGCGGTGATTGGGCGACCTGGAAGGAGCCGGTTCCAGATCAGAGTGCAGCGGGCCCATGGCTGCACCCGACATTCGGGCGGAGCTGGACTCGCTGCTCGTGCAGCTGCTCGGGGACCTAGAAGAGCTAGAGGCAAAGCGGGCGGCGCTGAACGCCCGGGTGGAGGAGGTGGGAGCCGCCGGCGGCGGCGGGCGGGCGGGCGGGTGGGGGCACGCCGGGGTCCACCGCGTTCCACCGCTCCCTTCTCTCCGCAGGGCTGGCTCTCGCTCTCCAAAGCTCGCTACGCCATGGGCGCCAAGTCGGTGGGGCCTTTGCAGTACGCCTCCCGCATGGAGCCCCAGGTCTGCGTCTGCACCAAGTGAGGAGCCTGGCGTGCCGAGGCGGGTGGGCGGGCAGTGTCCAGGCTGGGGCTGCCAAAGAACCACGCTCCCTTCTCGTTCTTTAGCGAGGCGCAGAATGGACTCCAGGAGTTCCGTGTGGTCAGTGCCGCCGCCCAGAATCCAGAGGAGGTGGGGCCCCGTGAGGCAGGTGAGCCCTTCGTTCCTATCAGGAACCCCTCGCGATGGCAAAGGCAAAATACAATTGAGGAGATTCAGGTTGTGATGGAGCGCCCCAGACACGAACATTGGTTTGCCTTAGACCCCCTGGAGAAGTAGACGAGTGCTAGTTGAAGCCCTTTACAGTTGGGATTGTTTTGCAATCAGAGGAAGTCTCAGTACGTAGAAAAGAAAATGGTTATCTCTTTTAGAGGGACAAACTTTCAATCTCAGCTAATCATACATGAGACAAAGAAAGGAGAGTTTGACGGTTGTGTGGCCTTGCTGCATATTTAGGAAAAATGGGGAAGGTCTGTGTGGCGTTGTCTAAACAAGTGTTGGTTTTATGAGTTGAGAAATTATGGACAGTCTCACATTTGGATCACAAGGAGGCGACGGTAGGTTTGTGGTAAACTGTTTTACAGAACATAAAATGTTGGGGGCAGATTCTGCAGCCATCAGTATTTTCCAGGATCATGAGCTCAGAGTTTAACGTTGTCACCTGGGAGACAAGGGCCAAGTGATAAGACCCCAACCTCTACCCTTTCTTTCTCCAGCTCTGCGTAGGCGCAAGGGCCTCACCAGGATTCCAGAGCCGGAGCCCTTCTCAGCCCCCCAAAATCCTCTGCACTGGTTTGGAATCCTAGTTCCGCACAGCCTGCGGCAGGCCCAAGCCAGCTTCCAGGAGGGTGAGTGGACCCTGCCAGTTAGCCATGTGGCCCTGAGCCAAAAGAGGACCCCCTATCTACAGGGAGCGCTTGTGCGCTAATGCCAGGGCTGGGATTAGTCTGCAAAACACTTTAGGTTTTCTCCATTGCAGATTTTTGTTGCTTGCCTGCTGTTTTTTTCTGAAAGCATTTACTGGGTATTGTTGGTAATGTTCTGGGCTCATGGTAGGTGCTGGGGATGCAGCAGGAAACAAAAAAGATAAACACTCCTTATAGAATGTTAAACTATTGAGAGGAGAAAGACAACCTGCAAATAAGTAAGTAATGAGAGTTGTTGTGAAATGAAAAAATAGGATAGAGCCCTGACTGGTTTGGCTCAGCAGTTAGAGTGTCGGCCTGTGGACCCATGAGTCGCCGTTCAGTTCCTGCCAAGGGCATGTACCTCGGTTGTGGTTTGTCCCTGGCCCTGGTAGGGTCGTGTAGGAGGCAACCAGTCAATGTGGCTCTATCACATCGATGTTTCTCTCTGTCTCTCCCTCCCTCTTACTCTATCTGATAATAAGTAGAAAAATATCCTCGGGTGAGGAATAAAAATTAATAATAATAAGATAGTGTGTGGGGGATTAAATGATAGTGTGTAGTGGGCCGAGGGAGCTGTTTTATGAAGTGTGGCCTGGAAAGTCCTCTTTGAAGAAGGGAGTTTTGTGGGTGATCTGGGGCAGTAGTGTTCTAGGCAGAGGGGCCAGCCAGAGGGAAAACTCTGAGGTAAGACTGCATGGGGCATTGCAGAGAAGAGGCCAGTGGGCTGGAGTTGGTGCAGCAGAGAGAGCCAGGAGCTGAGGTCAGAGGGGTCTGGGCCCAGGTAATTGGAGGGCTGTGTAGGCCCTTTTGAAGACTTGGGAGTGATGGGATGGACTTGCAGCATGACGGGAATCCTGTGGGTCCTGCACAGGAACAGAGGAGCAGAGAGATGAAGCATGCTCCAGGGAACAGCCAGGCTTAAGATGCAGGTGGAGGAGTGGGTAAGTGGTAGGAACCTGCATGTTTTGAGAGCAGAACTGTTATTGGCACCCAAAACACCAGAAACAGTGTTAATTGGACAGGCCTCTGAGTCAGAGGGAGAGGACTGTCCCCTCTCAGTTCTTGTCAGTTTTATAGAAAAGATTTCAAACAAATGACTCTGGACAGCAGCACTGTAGTAAAGCGAATTTATTAAAGAAGCAAAGCAAGCACAGCTATCAAAATACATCTGGCTTAAATCACAGGCTTTCAGCTAATCTGAGGAATATTGCTCAGTAGAGGTTTAGCATTTTATGCTTTTTTGAAAAAATTTTTTTTCTTTATTGATTTTAGAGAGAGAGGATGGGAGAGCGGGAGAGAGATGGAAACATCCATGAGAGAACATCGATTGGCCGCTTCCTGCATGCGCCCCACTGAATATCGGGCCCACAACCTGGGCGTGTGCCCTGACCGGGAATAGAACCAGCGACCTCTTGGTGCAGGGGTCGATGCTCAACCAGTGAGCCACACCGGCCAGGCTAGCATTTTATAAGTTTATGTCTACAGGTTTAAAAATTCTTCTGCCGGATATCTTGGCATAGACTAGCTCTTAAGATCTCTTTTACATTTTTTATGCTTCTGGTGATTTTATCTTGACAAGCCCTGAGGGTGCTGGCTTCTCTGTTTAAGGAGTGAGATAAAACTCTCCCTTCTCACTGACTTCTTTTTTAATGGGTGAGATAAACTCTCCCTTCTCTCCCGTTCCCTTCCCTTCCCCCCTTTTCTTGCATTCTTTGGTGAGGGAGAAGAGGTATTAACCATTTGTTCTCATGTGTCCTTGGCTGGGAAGGTAAGATGTTGCCCAGACTGGCCATGTTGAAGTTTCTTGTCTCAGTTTCCCTTTTCCTCTTGCCCTAGAGTTTTCTCCAGCTTCTTGCTATCCTGCTGCAGAACCCCACAGGATTTGCTGACAGATCAGTTTGGGAATGAGGGAAGGAGAGGAGGAATCCTGGGAGGATGGAGCTGCCCTCATCTGGTGTGGGAGGGTTGCAGAGCAACAGCTGACAGGATGTCAAGAGTTGTTTGTGGCGGTGGTCCCGATGCTGTGTGGTGGAAATTCTGAGTGGGCGGCTAGGTACATGCAACGAATCTGGAAGAGGCCTCAGCTGGAGAGATTCAGGAGCCTACCACTTAACTCTGGTGTTTAAATTCCCAAGTTGCATTAAAGCTTTAATGACACATGTGGCATTAAAGCTAAGATGGGGTAAGATCAGCAGAGAGCCTGGAGTGTGGACAGGAAGTGAGGGAGAGGAAGAAGAGAAACCATTAGAGGAGAATGAGAAGTAGTAGTGAGGCAGGGGCAATACCCAGAGGACAAGATGTCCCAGAAGCCATAAGGAGGAAGCGTTCACTGGACAGAGTTGATCAGATGCGTGGCCAGGTATGCTGCTGGACAGGTAGGCTCAGGACAGGACTGGCCAGTGGAACGGTTGGTGTGGAGGGCCCAAAGGACTTGGCAGCAGCCAGTGCAGCAAAGGCATCAGGCGAAAGCCACCTAGTAAACAGGTAGAAGGAGTGAGGGTGGTGAGAGCAGGGAGGGGCTGTGGTAATGGAGGAAAGAAGGAAGAAAATACGAGCATGAGACAGTGTAATGATCTGTGGGTTTTAAGTTTCTGGTGAGTTATAGAAGGTCAAGAAAGTCTGTTGAGGAGGTGTGATTTTAGCAAAGGCCTAAAGGAGTTGAAGGTGTGGTTCCAATGAGGTTCAGAGCAGCCATTGCAGGGCTGTGCCTGGAATGTTTTAGTAATAGTACAGAGGCCAGAGATGCCTAGACCTTTCCAAGTCCTGGGGATTTCCAGAGTCCATTGAGTCATGTGTCACTACAGATACCATGGTGATAATCTCTCCCCTTCCTCTAGGCCTGCAGCTGGCTGCAGACATAGCCAGTCTTCAGATCCACATCAACTGGAGTCGAAACCAGCTCCGGGGGCTCCAAGAGAAACTCAAGCATCTCGAGTGTGGGGCTGCGTGACCTCTGTCCACAGAGGAAGGCATGAGTACAGCTATCCTTCAGTGTGGCTGCTTTACCTCAGGCCTTCTTCCTTCACAGATTGCCCCACCCTGCCACCACCACCCCATTCCCACCAGCTAATCTCCTCTCCTTAAAATTTCTCCGGTCTGCATGTTTGCAACTTTGTTAGGTACGAAAGTTTGAAGAGGCTAGCTGAGGAACGTGCAAAGTCACTACACTGTGTGAAACCACTTCCAGTCCTTGTTCTAGGAAACACTTATATGGGGAGGGTCAAAGCTGTTATGTTAGTACATATTAGTGAACAACAGCAATCTTATGCATAAATTGTTGCAGGTGAAGTACTGCCCAGCTAGTGACAGGAAGGACAAGAAGTAGGTACTTCAGTTTCACTAGATCCTCAAAACTGTTTAATGGAGGGGAAGAACCATACATGGCTAACAGATAAGGAGAGAATGATTCCTCATCGATAACAAACGCAATCACCGGCATAGATGGGCAGCCCTTGGCAGGTTTTAAGCTAAGAAGTAAAAAAGATCCAATCTACATTTTCAAATGAACCCTAGGAAGAGACCTTTCAGGTTTTCTAAAACCTGCCTTTATCTTTCCAGTAGTGAGATTGAACATTTTCTAATTTGTTGAGAGGCCAGTTATATTCCCTGCCCTGGGAACTCTGTGTCCTTGACTTCATTTTCTTATTGGGTTAATATTTTTAGCAGATTCTAAGGAGCTAATTTTTATGCTTGGGGGGAAATGGGTCCTTTGTTCATACTATGAGTGATTTTCCCACTTTGTCTCTTAACATTATAGATGGTGGTTTTAAAGATAAGTGTTATTGTAAAATAAAACACAGAACCACACAGAATAATTGAATAGTTTAATGAATAATTAAGGTGAAAGCTATAGGGACCATCACCCAACTGTTGTGTTTTTTAGTCAGTTTAGTTTTGATTTTCCATTTTATTTATATTTCCATCACTATTTAACCCCATATACCCTCTTCCACCTCCACCTACCTCCCCCTGCAGGCAGCACACTGTTGTCCCTGTTCATGAGTTCTCTCTTTTTTTGTTGTTCAACCTCTTCACCCCCTCCTCACAAAACCTCACCACCACCAGAGCTGTCTACATGCTCTCTATCTGTGAGTCTGTCTCTATATTGCTTATTGGTTCGGTTTGTTTATTAGATTCTACATATGAGTGAAACATGGTATTTGTCTTTCTGTGACTGGATTATTTCACTTAGCATAATGTTCACCAGGTCCATCCATACAGTCTAAAGGGTAAAATTTTCTTTTTATAGCTGAGTAGTATTCCACTGTGTAAATGTACTGCAGCTTTTTTATCCACTCATCTACTGATGGAGACTTAGGCTGCTTTCAAATCTAGGCTATTTTAAATAACACTGCAATGAACATAGGGGTGCATATATTTTTTTGAGTTAATGTTTCAGGTTTCTTCAGATATATTTCATAGAAGTGGAATTGCTGGGTCATAAGGCAGTTCCATTTTTAATTTTTTTAAGTAACCCCATACTGCTGCATCATTCGCACTCCTACAGTGCACAGTGGTTTCCTCTTCTCCACTCTTGTTTGTCAATTTATTGATGACAGCCATAGATAGGGTGATAATCTCACTGAGGTTTTAATTTGCACTTCTCTGATGATTAGTGACCTTGAACATCTTTTCATATGTCTATTGGCCACCTGTATGTCCTCTTTGGAGAAGTGTCTATTGTCCACTGAATGGGAGAACATATTCACTGATACCTCTGTTAAGGGTTTAATATCCAAAATGTATAAAGAACTTATAAAACTCAACACCAAAAAAAGGTCTTTGCCCATTTTTTTTATTATTATTATTGTTAATCCTCACCCGAGGACATTTTTGCATTTATGTTCAGATAGAGTGGGAGGGAGAAAGGGAAGAAGAGAGAGAGAGACATCGATGGAGAGACACATTAACTGGCTGCCACCCACACGACCCCAATTGGGGCCAGGGATGAACTGCAACCGAGGTATGTGCCCTTAGTGGGAACTGAACCCAGGACTCTCGTCCACAGGCTGATGCTCTAACCGCTGAGCCAAACCGGCCAGGGCAGGTCCTTGCTCATTTTTAAGTTGGATTTTTTTTTTTGGTGTTGAGTTTTATAAGTTCTTTATAAATTTTGGATATTAAACCTTTATCAGATGTATTGGTGAATATGTTCTCCCATTCAGTGGGCAGTGTTTATTTGGTTGATGATTTCCTTTGTTGTGAAAATACTTTTTAGTTTGATATAGTCCATTTGTTTATTTTTTCTTTTGTTTACCTTGTCCAAGGAGATATATCAGAAAAATAATATTACAAGAAATATCCAAGATTGTACTGACTGTGTTTTCTTCTAGGATTTTTATGGTTTTGAGCCTAATATTGTTAAGCCTAATGTTGTTAATCCATTTTGAGATCATTCTTTTTTTTTTTTTTTTAATGTTTCTATTGATTTTAGAGAGAGAGAGAAACCTTGATCAGCTACCTCCTGCTCACCCCCTACTGGGAATCAAGCCCATGCTCTTACCAGGAATCAAACCAGCAACCTTTTGGTACATGGGAGATGCTCAACTAACTGAGCCACACCAGCTAGGGCTGAGTTTATTCTTGTGTGTGGTATAAGAAGGTGGTCTAGTTTTATGTTTTTTGCACATCTCTGTCCGATTTTCCCAATACCATTTATTGAATGGACTGTCTTTAGTCCACTGTATGTTTTTGCCTCTGTTGTCTAATATTAATTGACTATAAAGGTGTGGATTTATTTCTGGGCTCTCTATAATGTTCCATTGGTCCATATGTCTTTTTATGCCAGTACCATGCTGTTTTGATTACTATGGCTTTGTAGTATAGTTTAAAATCCAGTAGTATGATTTCTCTGATTTTACTCTTCTTTCCCAAGAGTGCTGTTGCTATTTGGGGTCTTCTGTGGTTCCATATAAATTTTTGGAGTATTTGTTCTCATTCCATAAAATACACCATTGGTACCTTGATAGGAATTGTGTTGAATGTATAGATTGTTTTGGGCAATATCGACTATTTAATGATGTTGATTCTTCCAATCCAGTATCATATCATCTGCAAATAATGACAGTTTTACTTCTTCCTTTCTAGTTGGGATGCCTTTTATTTCTTTTTCTTGTCTGGTAGCTGTAGCTAGGATTTCCAGTACTATATTCAATAAGAGTGGTGAAAGCAAACATTCCTCCTTGTTCCCCATCTTAAGGGGAATGCTTGTAGTTTTTTTGCACATTAAGTATGATGTTGGCTATGGGTTTGTCATATATAGCCTTTATTACTTTGAGGTATGTTCCTTCCATTCCCACTTTCCTGAGACTGTTTATTATAAATGGTTGCTAGATTTTATCAAATGCTTTTTCTGCATCTATTGATATATGATCATGTGGTGTTTATTCGTCATTTTGTTTATGTGGTGTATCATGTTTATTATTTTACAGATCTTGTACCAATCTTACATCCCCAGGGAAAATCCTACTTGATCACGGTGAATGATCTTTTTAATGTATTGCTGGATTCAGTTTGCTAATATTTTGTTGAGGATTTTAGCATCTATGTTCATTAGGGATATTGGCCCATAATTTTCTTTCTTTGTCATGCCTATATCTGGTTTTGGGATTAGGATACTGCTGGCCTCGTAAAATGAGCTTGGGACTCTTCTCTCTTAAATTTTTTGGAATAGTTTGAGGATAGGTGTTAGTTATTCCTTGAATGTTTGGTAAAATTCATCTGTAAAGCTATCTGTTCCAGAGCTTTTATTTGTTGGGAATTTTTTTTATTACTGCTTCAGTGTCACTCATAGTGATCTGCCTATTCAGATTCTCTGATTCTTCCTGATTTAGTTTTGGAAGATTGTACATTTCTAGGAATCAATCCATTTCTTCAAAATTGTCCCAATTTGTTGGCATATAGTTGTTCATAATATTTTCTTATAATTCTTTGTATTTTGTATTTTGGTGTCAATTGTTACTTTTCTTTCATTTCTGATTTTATTTATTTGGGTCCTATTTTTGTTTGTTTCTTTAATTTTTCTTTTTCTTTATTGATTTTTAGAGAGAGGAAGGAAGAGAGAGAAACATCAGTGAGAGAGAGAACATCGATTGGCTGCTTCCTGCATGCCCCCCACTTGGGATTGTGCCCACAATCTGGGCATGTGCCCTGACCAGGAATTGAACTGGCCACCTCTTGGTGCATAGGTTGACTCTCAACCACTGAGCCACACTGGTCGGGCAGGTCCTGTTTCTTTTTTTTTCTTGATTAGTCTGGTTAAAGGTTTGTCAATCTTGTTTATCTTTTCAGACTCATTCATTTATTTCTCCTCTGATCTTTATTTCCTTCTACTCAGTCTGGGCTTTGTTTGTTGTTCTTTCTCAAGTTCCTTTAAGTATAAAGTTAGATTATTTACTTGAGCTTTTTCTTGTTTCTTTAGATAGGACTGTAATGCTATGAATTTTCCATTTAGTACTGCTTACCCTGTGTCCCGCAGATTTGGGGTTGTTGTGTTCTCATTTTCATTTGTTTCAGGGTATCTTTTGATTTCTTCCTTGATCTCATTGTTAACCCATTCCTTGTTTAGTAATGTGTTATTTATTCTCCTTGTTTTCTTGTGACTAATTTCAAGTTTCATAGTATTTTTTTTCTTTATTGATATTAGAGAGAGAGAAAGGGAGAGGGAGAGAGAGGGAGAAACATCAATGAAAGAAACATCAATTGGCTGCCTCCTACAAGCCCCACGATGGGGATTTGGCCCTCAACCTGGGCAAGTGCTCTGACCAGGAATCGAACCAGCAACCTCTTGGTGTATGAGTCAATGCTCAGACACTGAGCCACACCAGCCAGGCCCAAGTTTCATAGTATTATGATCAGAGAAGATGCATGATATGATTTCAGTCTTAATTTATTGACACTTGTTTTGTGTACTAACGTGGTTTATCCGAGAAAACATTCCATGTGCACTTAAAGAGAATGTGCTTTCTGCTGCTTTGGAGTGAAATGCTCTGAAGATATCAATGAATCCATTTGATCTAGGGTGTCATTTAAGGCTGCCATCTCCTTGTTGATTTTCTGTCTGGATGATCTATCTATTGATGTCAGTGGGGTATTAAAATCCCCTACTGTATTACTATAATCTCTCCTTTTATATCCATCAAGATTTGCTTTACACATTTAGGTGCTCCTATGTTGGATACATAAATGTTTACAAAGGCTTATATGTTCTCTTGTTGGATTGCTCCCTTTTTCATTATGTTGTGTCCTTCTTTGTCCCTTACTATACCCTTAGTTTTAAAGTCTATTTTGTCAGCTGTAAGTATTGCAATACCAGCTCTTTTTTCATTTCCATTTGCATGGAATATTTTTTTCTATTTCTTTTAGCCTGTGTGAGTCTTACGTTCTGAGGTGGGTATCTTGTAAACAGCATATATATGGGTCATGTTTTCTTATCTATTCAGTTACTCTGTGTCTTTTTTGTTTGTTTATGTTTTCATTACAATTAAATGTATTGGGGTGACATTGGTTAATAGGATTATATGGGTTTCTGGTGTGGATTTCTATCTTACAAGATCTGTATATTGCACTGTGTGCCTACCACCCAAAATCAAATCCTTTTCCATCACCATATATTAGGTCCCTTTCACACACACCCCACCTCCTACCCTTTCCTCTGGCAACCACTACACTGCTGTTTGTATCTACAAGTTTCTGTTTTATATCCCACATGTAAGTGAAATTATATGGTTCTTAGCTTTTTCTGCCTGCTTTATTTCACTTAGTATAATATTCTCAAGTTCCATCCATGTGGTCGCAAATGGCAGTATTTTGTCTTTTCTTATGGCTGAGTAGTATTCCATTATGCATATGTACCACATTTTCTTTATCCAGTCCTCTGTCAAAGAATACCTTGATTGTCTCCATGTCTTAGCCACTGTGAATAATGCTGCAATGAACATAGGGGTGCATATATCTTTGTGAATACACGTTTTCAAGTTTTTTGGGTATATACCCAGGATAGGGATTGCTGCGTCATATGGTAGCTCTATTCTTAATTTTTTGAGGAATCACCAGACTGTTTTCCATAGTGGCTGTACCAGTCTAAATTTCTACCAGCAGTGAATGAGGATTTTCATTTCTCCACAACCT